GTAGTAGTAGTAGTAGTAGTAGTAGTAGTAGTAGTAGTAGTAGTAGTAGTAGTAGTAGTAGTAGTAGTAGTAGTAGTAGTAGTAGTAGTAGTAGTAGTAGTAGTAGTAGTAGTAGTAGTAGTAGTAGTAGTAGTAGTAGTAGTAGTAGTAGTAGTAGTAGTAGTAGTAGTAGTAGTAGTAGTAGTAGTAGTAGTAGTAGTAGTAGTAGTAGTAGTAGTAGTAGTAGTAGTAGTAGTAGTAGTAGTAGTAGTAGTAGTAGTAGTAGTAGTAGTAGTAGTAGTAGTAGTAGTAGTAGTAGTAGTAGTAGTAGTAGTAGTAGTAGTAGTAGTAGTAGTAGTAGTAGTAGTAGTAGTAGTAGTAGTAGTAGTAGTAGTAGTAGTAGTAGTAGTAGTAGTAGTAGTAGTAGTAGTAGTAGTAGTAGTAGTAGTAGTAGTAGTAGTAGTAGTAGTAGTAGTAGTAGTAGTAGTAGTAGTAGTAGTAGTAGTAGTAGTAGTAGTAGTAGTAGTAGTAGTAGTAGTAGTAGTAGTAGTAGTAGTAGTAGTAGTAGTAGTAGTAGTAGTAGTAGTAGTAGTAGTAGTAGTAGTAGTAGTAGTAGTAGTAGTAGTAGTAGTAGTAGTAGTAGTAGTAGTAGTAGTAGTAGTAGTAGTAGTAGTAGTAGTAGTAGTAGTAGTAGTAGTAGTAGTAGTAGTAGTAGTAGTAGTAGTAGTAGTAGTAGTAGTAGTAGTAGTAGTAGTAGTAGTAGTAGTAGTAGTAGTAGTAGTAGTAGTAGTAGTAGTAGTAGTAGTAGTAGTAGTAGTAGTAGTAGTAGTAGTAGTAGTAGTAGTAGTAGTAGTAGTAGTAGTAGTAGTAGTAGTAGTAGTAGTAGTAGTAGTAGTAGTAGTAGTAGTAGTAGTAGTAGTAGTAGTAGTAGTAGTAGTAGTAGTAGTAGTAGTAGTAGTAGTAGTAGTAGTAGTAGTAGTAGTAGTAGTAGTAGTAGTAGTAGTAGTAGTAGTAGTAGTAGTAGTAGTAGTAGTAGTAGTAGTAGTAGTAGTAGTAGTAGTAGTAGTAGTAGTAGTAGTAGTAGTAGTAGTAGTAGTAGTAGTAGTAGTAGTAGTAGTAGTAGTAGTAGTAGTAGTAGTAGTAGTAGTAGTAGTAGTAGTAGTAGTAGTAGTAGTAGTAGTAGTAGTAGTAGTAGTAGTAGTAGTAGTAGTAGTAGTAGTAGTAGTAGTAGTAGTAGTAGTAGTAGTAGTAGTAGTAGTAGTAGTAGTAGTAGTAGTAGTAGTAGTAGTAGTAGTAGTAGTAGTAGTAGTAGTAGTAGTAGTAGTAGTAGTAGTAGTAGTAGTAGTAGTAGTAGTAGTAGTAGTAGTAGTAGTAGTAGTAGTAGTAGTAGTAGTAGTAGTAGTAGTAGTAGTAGTAGTAGTAGTAGTAGTAGTAGTAGTAGTAGTAGTAGTAGTAGTAGTAGTAGTAGTAGTAGTAGTAGTAGTAGTAGTAGTAGTAGTAGTAGTAGTAGTAGTAGTAGTAGTAGTAGTAGTAGTAGTAGTAGTAGTAGTAGTAGTAGTAGTAGTAGTAGTAGTAGTAGTAGTAGTAGTAGTAGTAGTAGTAGTAGTAGTAGTAGTAGTAGTAGTAGTAGTAGTAGTAGTAGTAGTAGTAGTAGTAGTAGTAGTAGTAGTAGTAGTAGTAGTAGTAGTAGTAGTAGTAGTAGTAGTAGTAGTAGTAGTAGTAGTAGTAGTAGTAGTAGTAGTAGTAGTAGTAGTAGTAGTAGTAGTAGTAGTAGTAGTAGTAGTAGTAGTAGTAGTAGTAGTAGTAGTAGTAGTAGTAGTAGTAGTAGTAGTAATAATAATAATAATAATAATAATAATGATTCCATAATGATTGTAATGAATTTAAAGTAAATTACAGCGTACGTGACAAGAAATTGGTCAGATGACTAGAAGTCAAAATTAATGTCTTGAATAGAATTTTTATCACGTCATTTTTAATAGACTGACTGATTTCTACTATACATTGGTAGAATGTATACACACCATCTATCTTATTTAAAAGTCCATTAGTATAGTTGAATTGATGAAGAATGAAACTTGACAGCGCTTACAAATAAAGTAATGGTAATGCATAGTTTAGATATACAGTCAACTCAACTCTACTTCAACTTCATCAACTATGAAAAGGCAAGCAGCTGCTTCAACACTACAGAATACCACAAACCTTTATCTATCTCATTCAACAACTATATGAAAACATCACATGTCAAGTAATTCACTATGAAAAGCTCAGTGATGCTTTTGAAGTGAAGACAGGAGAGAAACAAGGCTGCCTACTATCACTCATGATATTCCTGATTGTGATCGACTCGACTGGATCATGCAACAAACAGTGGGAAGCGAGAAGAGGGAGATATGCTGGACCGCGGAAAAGAACCTAGAAGACTTGGATTTCGCTAGTGATGACTTGTGTCTAATGTCACACAAACTTGAAGATCTACAGGTGAAAACCAACAAGTTGACAGAAGAGGCAACGAAAGGGCAGCGAAGGCAGACGGGACTTCAAATGTATGTAGAGAAGACAGAGGTGATGAAGATACTCAACCAACACCGCCACCACCACCACCAACAACAACAACAACAACAACAAGCTCCAATCAACATCAACGGGAGAAACTTAAAGGAAGTAGCCTCCTTCACCTATCTAGGCAGCATCGTTTCAACTACAGGTGGCAGTGGCACAGAGGAGGACGTCAAAGCCAGCCAGAATCGGAAAGACAGCAAGACAGGCCTTCACGCATTAACCTGAAACCTGTGTGGAGATCTACTACACTCAGCATGTGGAACAACATCCGAATTTTCAACACCAATGTCAGTCAAGTCAGTGTTTCTATGTGATGGTTGAGAGAGTTGGCGCGTTACGAAAGGCATTTCTAACAAACTACAGTTATTCATCAACAACTGCCACCTACGCTGGCTCGTTACTGGAGAAGAAATGGATTGTTAGAATAATAAGAATAAGAATAGTTTAGATATACAGTCAACTCAACTCTACTTCAACTTCATCAACTATGAAAAGGCCTTCGATAGTGTCAACCAACAAGTAATTTGGCAGCTTCTGTTTCAACACTACGGCTGGCTTTGATGCTACAAACCTTTATCAACCTCATTCATCAGCTATACGGTGATGCTACATGCCAAGTGATTCACAATACGATGGAAAGCTCAGTGATGCCTTTGAAGTGAAGACAGGGGATAGGAGTAAGACAAGACAAGGTTGTCGCCAACTATCACGATCATCTTCTTGATAGTGGTTGACTCGAATCGACTGGATCATGCAAGAAACAACTGTGAGGAGCAATGAGAAGATGGGCATACGCTGGCTGTTTGACCGCACACAAACTCGAAGATGTACAGGCGATAACTAACAAGTTGGCAGAACAGGCAGGGCAGCGAAGACCGAACTTCCTTCACGTGAATGTAGAGAAGACAGAAGTGATGAAGATACCCAATAACAACAACAACAAGCACCATGAACAGGAGAAATCTAAACGAAGTTGTCTATTTCACCTACCTACCTGCCTACCTATGCAGCATCATTTCAACTACGGGTGATGGAACAGGCACAGATGAGGATGTCAAAGTCAGCCAGGATCGGAAAGACAGCAAGACAGGCCTTCCTTCATTGATCTCAAATAATCAGTGTAGAGATCTACTCCACTGCACTGCACTGCACTCAGCATAAAGCGTGAACAACATCCGGGTTTTCAACACTAAATCAAGTCAAGTCAGTCAGTGCTTCTATGTGATGGTTGAGAGAATTGACACGTTACGAAACGTATTTCCAACAAACTGCACACATACATCATCAACAGCTGATGCATGCGCTCCCTCCATACTGAAGATAGAGATCAGATGGCCAGAATGGTGAGAATAAGCAAGGAGGAACCCTGGCTGAGTGGCAACGAACCAACGAAGTAAGAACCTATCATCCAAAAATATGCGGATGAATTGGATATACACTGAGAAGACCGTTTGGAGACAGGTCAGGCCATGCCTTCGAGTGGAAGCCAAATAGGAAACAACAAGATGGGTGTCCGAGGCGAGGGTGACATAGAGGGGATGGTGTGGGGAAGAAATGAAAACCTATGGGTAATCGTAGAGCCAGACTCAAACGACTGCGGAGAAGAGAGTGAAATGGCAACGTCCTACTGAAGTCCTATGTTCTACTGAGAACCCAAAGGACAAATATTAATAATCGTTTGAAACCTCCTGTCGTTGAGTGGATCCAATCGATCGACCACTAATGGCACTTGGGAACCTGTACGGATGCTATAATACTGCCTGAATATCCATTATCTTAAAGTTTACTTGGCTGCTAGCAGTGAAAACCAGGATGAGCGTTTCGTCCTGTTTCGGAGTCGTCAGTCGGCTGGATTACCTGGACTCCATATTCATCATTTCAAACACTGCAGCCCTAGCCACTAGCCTAAAGAGTCACTGAGCGATGGATGCAGTTTAGTTTACATATTATGACTCCCAATTTCGTGTCGTTGATCAGTCATTATTCGGATATGGAATCCTGTGTAGATGCCTTGCCAGTGGCTAGCGGTAGATCATCGTGATTCATTGGTCCTATGGATAAGGCTCTGGCATTTGCAGCGACCGGTAGCGTGTTAGTGTTAGCAAGAAAAAATATTACTCACATTTGGGTGACGAGTCGCAAATTATACGAAGAGCACATCTTTGACCCCAACTGCTAACTATTGTACATGATTAATGGTAATGCAGTCCAATTGCCGTTGATAAAGCATCACTTTTCAAGACAAGAGGAGAGTGTAGAGTTCATATAAGTGACTAATAGTTGGAGAAAGAGTTCGGTAACATCAGATAACATATAACTTTAACAGTTTTCAACAGGTGTCAAGAAGAAAATGACAGTTGAATACCACCAACCTATTTACTCACATTTTAACCACCTTCCAGCAGAAACAAAGGGGGGGGGGGGGGGAAACAAAGAAAAGCAAAATAATCACCTACCTTGAGCTAAAATATATGCACGTGGGCATCGATAACCATCCACCCAGTTAGCATGTATATATGTATTATCTGATAATTCAACTGCTGTTGCATCTAAGCACGGAACATCTAGATAACGATTACGACGTTTATTAGAAGCTTGTCTGTAAAGAGATGAAAATAAAGTAAAACATACAGGAAGAAGATATTTTATATAGGTTACATAAAACAGTAAGAGTCTAATGGAAAGTTTGACTCCACAGGGATTCACTACATCTTGGAGATCATCTGGTTGACTTGAAATATACAGATTAAATTATTCTACTAGGTAAGGACGTTGACGTAATACAAGATCTGAACGTTTTCAGCAGAAATCTCAGTATGTTTGATTGGTATACGTTTTTTGCTGACACCTGTCAAATGTAGTTTACTGTAAATACTCCCAGGGACTGAAGTGATGAAATGTGTCGAACACTTCACATACTTCAGATTCGTTGTTAACAAAATATAAAATGGAGTACAAAACTGCTGTTTGACATTTGGCAAATGGTGTCATTTATGGCGCCAATTGGCGAGATATCCGACTATCCATCAAAAGACGAGTATACTGCGCTGAAGTCTGTTCTGTCCTGTTGTATAACTGTCAGAAATGGCCGTTAAAAGTAGAACATATAAAGCAATTATAGGGTTTCGATCATAGGTGTCTTTGCAACATTACTCGTGTTTTGTGGAATCACCGTGTGAGCAATGTTGAGGTCAGGTGAAGGGTAATAAGGTAAGTAAGGCAAGATGGCTTGAACATGTACTGAGCATGCCAAGTCACCACCTGAGTTGATGTGCCACACTAGAAGATGTTGGACTAAGTTGGAAGATGGTTCAGGGTGGCTAAACCAAAACCTAGCACTAGTCAATGAAGTTCTTGACTATTGATCTGAATCGTGTGGGTAGATGTCGACTGAGTAGCTGGGGTTAGTGGTTGACAACTCTTCGTGATATAGATGAAAATCGATCGGTGACAATGGCACAGATATATTCATTTCTTGACATCTTATAAAGTTTGAATACTTGGATTAACCTTTATCTCTTGATTGTTTATTCTCTTACACTACTTTACGTACTTTTAATATTACGCTTTTTAGATCCAATTGTTGTTTTATGTACCTACTGTGAAACGTAACACGTTGAACCAATTCACTTGTGTGCCAGATTTCTACGTTGATATTGTCTGTCTACGAGGATAGATGATGATAAATTTTCAGTTTCCTGTACTATTTATTTACAAAAGGCATGAAGACATCATAGTAATCCACAAAATAACCTAGTTTTTACAATATTACCATAGTGGTCTAATGTACAACTAGCCATGGCGACCAACCTTAATGTATAATAGTGATAGTTAAGCTTGTGAATAACTGATGCAGTGGTTTAAGCCTTCAATTGTTTACTACTGAATAGACGATTTGAACACCATTGAATACACTATTTATTAAGACTTTTCATTCCCCGTTGTTGATGAAGTTTTAGACAACACTACCACCACCAATATCACAACCTATCTCAGATTTTGTCTTCATATCTGCTACCTGCTGAAATAATCTACATGAGAGTTGACAGACTTTCCTCTCTTCATCTTATCTAAAGGAGCTGTCTAGAGAGGAAAGGAAAGGTTACACATATGGCGAGAGATTACCCTGACGTTAAAAGACTTATCATCATTATCAACATAGGATCAGGCATTACTGCGTAACGGTCCAACTTGCCACACCTCATATCAGCACATCAAGTAAAAAGGTAGTGAGGTGAAGGATGAAGATAAGTGAATGCAGTCAAAAGAAATATAAAGTACGAGAAGAAAGGAAAGAGGAGTGACAAAATGGTGAGATTCAGTATAGCGTTGTTAAGATGAGGATAATGTGTGTATACATCTGTGCCACTCACATAGGTTCTGAGCCATATCACCTACGGTCTCCAACCACTGGTCCCTCTTGTCCCGTGGACCCCAACCACCTAGTCTGCATTGTCCTACATGGCTAAAACCAACAGTCAACGACTTCATACATTGGTGCCATGTTTTAGTCTGGCCACCTCCACCCTTTTTCCAGCCTCGACCCACCTCAGCCAACATTGTGTGACGAGGCAATCGGTGACTAGCCATAAGTCATACATGTCCCAACCAGCCATCTCAATCGATGAAGGTTCATAACCTCGTCAACTGACTTACCTCTACTCCCTCCCTAAAACTCTACGCCTAACTTCTGCATTACTCACGTGGTGACACCACGGAATACGTCCTATACTACGAAGGCAACGGTCGTCAAACACCTGAAGCCTTTTTGTATCTTGCACTTTCAATGGCCATGTTTCACAGGCATAGAGTAGAGCAGAGCGGACTGCTGTGCAGTACACGCCACCCTTAATAGACAAACGAATATCACGGCGGCGCCATAGGTGGCGTAAATTGGCAAAAGCCAATCGAGCCTTTTGTATCCGTGCAGAAATCTCATCGGCAACTGACCCACCGGAGTTGATCCTACTTCCCAGGTAAGTGAAGTGGTCAACACACTCAACCACTTCACTCTCTATTGTTAACCGCGGTGGGGTGCCGCTGAAGACCAGTCCTGGAGCAAAAATTTGCATTTGGGTGGTGAAAATCGCATCCCAAACATTCTCAAATTCCCACTCAAAGTGTTCAGAAGACTCTGCATCTTGTCAGCATCTTCACCTAACAGGACTATGTCATCTGTATATTCTAGATCTAAAGAAAATTCACCTGTGATCGGGTCAACGTCTGTGTAATCAGGTGACGAGAGGGAAACCTCCATAAGAATATCTATGATAAAATTAAATAAGAATGGGGATAGTGGGCATCCTTGACGGACACCACTTGATGAGTATAGATCCCTGGACAACTCGCCATAGGCTCTTACATGCCCACAAGTGTTCGAGTAGAGAGCTTTCAATAACGTGATGTACTAACTAGGCACGCCTTTCAGTGACAGACATTGCCATAAGGGTTAAAAGACTTAACTGCTCAGTTAAGTCTGAAACACAACATCTGAGTGATGTTTACAACCAGAAGTTTCTATCGTGTAAGAACTCTTCCAATATGTGGAAATTATTTAAAGAGCCTACTGGCAGAAAACAGATAACAAAAGAGGCTTGTACGAATGTCTACGCATTGAACAACTCACTCAAACGTCTTCATTGGCTGAATCCATTCTAAAACCTACTTCCTGATAGTGTTTCAAGTATTATATTTAGAAGATATGCAGATATTTTGTCATTCCTTTACAGATATCTTCAATGTATCTCGTTCTCAAAGTTGTACCTGTGCCTAAATCATCTTCTCGATTAGATGTTACGTATCGATCCATCAATATAACTTCCCGTTTCCTGAAGGCAATGAAGAGATTACTTCTGCTTGTGACTAAGTGGAATTATGAGTGTGGGGTATAATGATACTGAGACTCAATAGACACCTCAACCTCACTCAGTACCTTCTGCTTCACTGAGCCACGCGAATACATGACATATATATGTATTTACATAACTCTCAGAAAGTGAAGCCATAAATGAACCAATCAGATTTCTTGTATGAAATTGATCTGAAAATAACTTCCCAATTGGCTGCGTTTTGTCGTTATATATCAGCGACTAACCCTTCATTAAAGGTTTTCAGTGAGCCAAAACAATTTGCCTACAAACATAGGAGAAGTACTTAGATGATGTCACTGTCCAGCATCATCATAATATTGTTTGTAGCCTAGACAAAGGTGTTGAGTATGATCGTTGTGCCCTTTAGGACTACTCATCAAACTTTGACTGTATTCCTAGACTATTATTATTATTATTAGTCCCTTGGGTTCCTAGTGGAACATAGGGCTTCACTAGCACGTCTCCAGTGACCTCTGTTCTCTGAAATCTTTTGAACCTGGTTCCACGACAGCCCACAAGCTCTCATTTCCTCCTCGCACGATCTTCTCCATGTCACCCTCGGACGTCCAACTCGCCGCTTCCCATGGGGATTCCACTCGAGTGACTGGCCTGACGCGTGATGTCCCCAGTCGGCCTTCTCAGTGTATGCCCAATCCATCTCCACTTCCTCCTGCATATTTGTTGCGTGATAGGTTCTCGGTTGGTTTGTTCCCAGAACTCCTTGTTGCTTATTCTTTCTGGCCATTTGATCTTCAGTAGCGAGCGTAAGCAGTTGTTGATGAAGTATTCCTAGACTACTCTTGTTAAATAAGCTTCCAATAGCTTCTACTGGGGGCTATGAGTTACAAAGTGGCTATGTTTTTTTGTTTTTCTGTAAGGAAACAGTATACTGTCTCTAAAGCGAGGAGCTTCACTTCATTGCTTACTGAAGTTGACATGCCTTAATGTGTTGTACTTTCTCCATTTCCGTTCCCTTCGTTTTTACGCGATTTACTTTAGTCTGTTGAAATAAATTTTATTAAGTATGCTGATGATTTGAAGGTGTCTATTCCAGTCAACTTCCATTTAGATTGTGGACACATTCTACCACTTCACTCCTTATCATTAAACTAGGAGTGTCAGCAGCAAACTACTCCTTGAGCATCATTTTACATTTGAAAGGTGCGAGCGAAATATATATGCCAATCGAATATACTCAGATTTCTGCTGAAGACATTCAGAAGACCTTGTATTACGTCAACGTCTTCACCTAGCAGGACAATGTAGTCTGCATACTCCAAGTCAATCAAATAGATCTCCAAGGAATAGCTCAATCCCTATCAAGTCAGACGCACCTAAGCTGTACAATCGTTTATGCATATTATACTTACTTGAAAACAGAAAACAAATACTTCATAAGATATCTTCAGTAAGATTCAGTTTTTATCATAAACCAGGATATTGGTGAAACGATTCAGAAAAAAAGCTTTGAAAGACAAAGTCAATAATTGAATAAAGTACTACAGCTAGAGGAATTGGTGTATCTAATGTGAAACTATAACTTTAAGCGGCGAAGTATGTGGTATGCGTCGATATGGGTGAGTAAAATCGATCGAATATTCTCAGACAGAACTGTGAAGTTTTGTTGATAGATAACAGCTAGCAGTGGAAATCAGAAAGCATGCTTCTTACAGTTTGAGACTAGATGTATTTGTCTTCATGCAAGTGGTGTTGTGTTTCCACTAAGACTTGAGCCCAAAATCTTATCCACCAGGTCACTGAGTCAGTTTCATCACAGATATTCTCATGGAGATCTACCTTTCATCATCTGACTACAGAGGGATTAACCTAATCACAGGAGAATTTTCGTTAGACCTAGAATATGCAGATGACATAGTCCTGTTACATGATGATGCTGATAAGCTGTAGAGTCTTCTGAACACTTTGAGTAGCAATTTGAGAATGTTTGGGATACATTTCTCGTCACCCAAGTGCAAAATTGTTGCACCAGGACGGTGGCCTGCCTAACAATATAGAGTGAGGTGATTGAGCGCGTTGACAACTTGACTTGCCTGCAAAGTAAGATCAACTCTGATGCGTTGATCAGTGGCTGACATAAATGTCTCCAACAATACAAAAGGCTCACTTGACGTTTGCCAACTTACCCCACCTGTGGCACTGCCCCAATATCCGGTTATCTATGAAGGGTAGAGTGTACTCTCCTACACTCCGATCTCCTCTACCGTATGACTGTGAAACATAGCCATCGAAGGTGGAAGACATGACGAGGCTTCTGGTGTTTGACCCCTGATGACTCCGTAGTGTATAGGCTGTATTCCGTGAGATGTCACCATATCAGTGACCCAGAAGTTAGGTGTAGAGTTTTAGACATGAGAGGTAAGTCACTTGATGTGGTTGTGAACCATCACCGACTAAGATGTCTGCTTGACTGGCTGACTGGGATATATGTTACACATGTCGAGTCACCATCTACCTCTTCGCACAATGTTAGCTAAGTTAGGTTCAGACTGGAAAAAGGCTTGAGGCGGCCAGACTTAAACATGGTATCAATACCATGATGTTGTTGATTGTTGGTTTCAGTCATGTAGGGGGCGATGCAGACTAGCCATTTAGGGTCCAAGGGACAAGAGAACTTATTAGTTGGAGACTGACTTTAGGTGACGATATGCTTCAGAATTGATGTGAGTTGTGCTATACTTACTTAGTCTCATCATCATCTCCTACTTTTGCTTCGTTTAACCGATTTTTTGTTCCCTTCTTCATCTCTCATTATGTTACTTTTTTAACTTGTTAATTGATTGGTTCACTAGGGGAATATTGGCTCCTATGCGAATGCCTCGTTACTACAGCCAGTATTTTTCAAATTTGATGATATTGATGAATGGTGTCTAGCAGTGTGTTCATGCGCCAGGTGCTCTCTTTACTCCTTTGTCTATTTACCAGACTAGTATCTACTTTGTTCAAACAATACACCTTGTTTTACAACAGCAAGTGAATTGATAAACACATATACAGATGGCCAAGAAAGTGAGATAATCTTTCACAGCATTGAATAAGTAGAGAAGTAAGTCTAAGCTGAGGAGTTAGATAGCACAGTAGATCGTTCTCAACGAGTCTACAAAAGGCAGCCAATAGGGGGAGTTGTTTTCATGTCATGATATTTATGCATGCACTGACATGACAACCTGATTGGAGGAATTCGACCTCACACAAGAAATCTCATTGGTTCATTTATGGCTTCACTTTGTAAATACATATATGTCATGTATTTGCTTAATATAAGTTCTTGTCACTGTTCTTGCAGTCACAGGCTGTCTTTTGTCTTCTCATTTCACTGTGGCTCAGTGAAGCAGAAGGTACTGAGGGAGGTCAGTCGTAAAGGTATTCCACTTGAGGTGTCTATTGAGTCTCAGTATTCATTATACCCATGCGAACAACCCCACCACTCGGTCATAACAGTTTCTTATTAGTTCCGCTGATGCGTCTTCATTGAATTGTGATTGCAAACAATAATTATCATATTATACTACACCATTCAATTTATTAATTGAATATTGACTCCATCTTGGAAAGTCTCCTTTGACTACTATTTAACAAATCATTAAATCTCTTCATCAATATCCTGGTGTATAATGAAGAAATAAATTTTCCTCAAGATATTTTATGAAGTAGTTTTATCTTTTATTGTCAAGTGTAATATGTCCAAATGATTGTACAGCTTGAGAATGATTTTGTTGAAGAGAGATTACCATCATCATCATCAAAATTAACACAGGAAGATAAAGAGGCGAAGAAAAATCGGCCAAACAAAAAGAAAGTAGAAGGTAGTTAGGGAGAAGAACGAGGGATGAATGATCAGATTACGTATAACACTACTAACATCAATTCTGAAGCATATCGTCACCTAAAGTCAGTCTCCAACTAATAAGTTCTCTTGTCCCTTGGACCCTAAATGGCTAGTCTGCATCGCCCCCTACATGACTGAAACCAACAGTCAACAACATCATGGTATTGATACCATGTTTAAGTCTGGCCGCCTCAAGCCTTTTTCCAATCTGAACCTAACTTAGCTAACATTGTGCGAAGAGGTAGATGATGACTCGACATGTGTAACACATATCCCAGTCAGCCAGTCAAGCAGACATCTTAGTCGGTGATGGTTCACAACCACATCAAGTGACTTACCTCTCATGTCTAAAACTCTACACCTAATTTCTGGGTCACTGATATGGTGACATCTCACGGAATACAGCCTATACACTACGGAGTCATCAGGGGTCAAACACCAGAAGCCTCGTCATGTCTTCCACCTTCGATGGCTATGTTTCACAGTCATACGGTAGAGGAGATCGGAGTGTAGGAGAGTACACTCTACCCTTCATAGATAACCGGATATTGGGGCAGTGCCACAGGTGGGGTAAGTTGGCAAACGTCAAGTGAGCCTTTTGTATTGATGGAGACATTTATGTCAGCCACTGATCAACGCATCAGAGATGATGCAACTTCCCAGGAAGGAGATACTCTTCATTGAATGTTTTACAGTTTATAACTTAGTAGAAATTTTTAAACTAAGATGTAAGTAGTGATAATTTACTTGATTGTAGCTAGTAGACGAATGCAGAAACCCTGAAATAGTCCTACACCCTTGAAGGCTTTCATATATATATATATATATATATATATATATATATATATATGTCGTCAGCTGGATGTACCCGCTTCCCAGTGATTGATGTTATTCCCATCGGGATTCGGACTCTGGAGTGATCACTTCAAACTCCAATGTGTTATCTACTAAAACTATATCTCGTCGCACAACAAGTGGCTATCGTGGCTCTCTGATCTAGTGGATAACGCTCTCACGTTTGAAGCGATCGCTCCCGAGTCCGAACCCTAGTGGGAACAATATCACTCACTGGAAAGCAGGTACATCCAGTTGACGAGCCCCAAAATAGGACGAAATGCGCATCGTAGATTCCACTGCTAGCCACGATCTATCATTAATATATATATATATATATATATATATATATATATATATATATATATATATATATATATATATATATATATATATATATATATATATATAACTGAGTAAGAATATTATCCAGTGTATAAATGCAAGTAGTAACTTACGCAAATCGTGTACATGTTCCTTTCATCACAGGTGTATCCTTGAATAAAGCATCAATTCTGTAGTCAAACCTGTAGAACCAACACTTTGTACTCGATTGATAAATTCTGATATAGATAATCGTGTTTGTGATAAAGGATTTGTAATATATAATCGATTCTTTAATGAATTACAATCGGTGAAATTTGTAGAGGTAATACTACTACCACCACCACCACCACCACTGTTGTTACCATGATTATTTTTAGTTTTTGGTAAAGTGAACTGAGAGAAATGATGATCAGATTGATAAAATATACGTCTATTGAATGATTGAAACATTGAATCAGTCATACGATTATTCAACTTATTTATAAAAACATTATTGATAGTTGTAGAAGTTAGTAAACTACGACAAGGTAATGTTGATGTTTGCAAATTATTTACTGATGAAATATTTTCATTCATTAGATAATTATGTAATCTTGTTATAGGTATTGTTTCACGTTCTACTACTACTTCTTCTTCTCCTTCGCCTACTACTACTGAACTGGGTGTTGTTTCAATTGTTATCATTGAAGAATCATCTGAACATCTTCGATGTTTTACAGGATAACGTAATGATCCATGAATAGAAGATAGATGAATATTTGTATTAGTTGTATTGTTATGTCGAGGTAATGTGATGACATTATTATTAGTATTCATATTCATATCATTATTATTATTATCATCATCATTATGATATAGATTAAGTTGAACAATAAATTCATTCCCTAATAATGGATTATGCTGATAAATTGATGATAATGATGGAGGTGTAAAATAATCATTTGGTATATGAGATATATGACCAGTACGTTTAAGACAATTTAATAACCAATCAAAATGTTGATTAGAATTCAATTGACTAAATAAACGTGTTAATGTTGTATTCGGTAAATGAATATTTAATTCATCATAACCAACAGAATATATCTATAAAAAGCAAAACAAAACAAAAAATTGAATTTTTAAAGGGAATTGTGAAATCATTGTGGACTGATTGACATCAGTTGAAGGAAACTTTGGAGCACTGAACAGCTACTTCGCCAGGGATCGAACCTGTGACCTTCAGGTTTCATGACCAGTCGGCCAGAATCTAATGATCCATAACAATGGATCATTGGATTCCACTGACCCAGTGCCTAGCTCAGTGGTAACGTGCTGGCCAGGGGAACCTGAAGGTCTTGGGTTCGATGCCTGATGGGGTCGTGGGTGCGCACTGCTGAAGAGTCCAGTACTAGGACGAAACAGCTAGCTGTTCAGTGCTCCCAGGTTTCCTTTGTTCCTCTCCAACTGATATCAGTTGAAATGAAATGTTTTCTGTATAAGACAATTTATGTATATTCACTTAACGGTTGATGATAGCTAATTGAAAACAATATTGTTCATTTGAATGTCTTCTTCATATTATTATTATCATCAAACGTGATATTTAATCACTCACTACATCTTTACGAAAACTCAAGTGAGCAGTTAGAGTTTGACTTGTTTCTTTCTACACATATTCCATGAATTTTGAGGCAGTTGTGGCGATTTGGAAATATGTTAAGTTGTTATTCATCTTAGAGGAGGAACAAAAGAAACCTGGGAGCACTGGACAGCTAGCTGTTTCGTTCTAGCATGGGACTCTTCAACAATGCGCACCCACGATCCTACCCGGCTAGGAATCGAACCCGCGGTCTTCAGGTTCCTCGGCCAGCGCGTTACCATTGAGCCAGCCCCTGGGTCAATGGTTGATATGCCCAACTTCTATTAGCTCCCTCAAAACTCAATTGAACTGATGCTCATTGGTGACTAACTTCGAGGGGTATTCCCAAAGTTCCAAAGAGAAGTCATGACTGGTGGGGGTCAAAGCCTGGTGGTTGTGAGGACAGTTACTCAACGATGACATTGGCTGGCGGTTGCGCTATATCGTGAGCTAAGAGAAGTTGGATATATCGACCATTGGATTCTACTGACCCAGTGACTCAATGGTAACGCGTTGGCCATGGAACCTGAAGACCGCGGGTTCGATCCCTGGCGAGGTGGGGTCGTGGGTGTGCACTACTGAGGAGTCCCACACTAGGACGAAACAGCTAGCTGTCGAGTGCTCCTAGGTTTCTTTTGTTCCTCCAACTGATGTCAGTCTGTGATGAATAACAACTTGAAAGAAATAAATTGTTATCAATGACTTCACGGTTGTGGTTAGCCATAGAATCTAAGAGGTAGATTCTGTCCTAATTACGACCTGTCATTAGCTAATTGTAACAACAGGGGATACTGATATTGATATATACTGTTAGTCATCACGTTCTCTTACCTTTAATTATCAGAGTTTAATGACATCCTTGATAATAACTTCATAAACAGATGAACACTCTACATTAAGGATATTTCAGAAATAGCTGAGAATTTGAATGGCAAACAAATCAAACCTGAAGGATCCATTTCTAAAGGAAGATAGAACAAATATAACTAACAAGATCAACTACAAAGATTGTTCACAACACTACGATAGCCTGTTTAACCGTCAGGTTCCTTAAAGAATTCAGCAACACTAACCAGCAGTCAATCGATATGAAGTAATCTCCGTGGTTTTACTCCATGCAGTCAATCATGATCATTAATTCGACTGGAATGCCTGATCATTACAGTTTATGATACTACACGCTGATTGGTCCATTTTACACTTTTAATATGTTATTTTACTTTCCCTGGTCAAGGTCATCTGAGGATATATAAACGAGAGAATTCTCAAGTATGAATTCAGTCACTCGGTTGACGTAAATATCTTCTCAATCTCATCATCTTCTGGTGTCAAGTGAATATCAAGTTGAGAAGTCATCCTTCTACCGTTATTCGTATCGCGTTGAACCATTCTATCGCTTTATATATATATATATACATATATATATATATATATATATATATATAATTTGTCCCTTGGGTTCCTAATGAAACATAGAGCTTCAGTAGCACGTCGCCATTTCACTCTCTTCTCTGAAGTATATTTAACATGGCTCCACGACTACGCAGAAGCTTTCATTTGTTCCTCACATGATCTCCTACATGTCACCCACGGAAGCCCATCTCCTCGTTTCTCCTTTAGGGTTTCAAATGGTCTTCTCAACGTATGTTCAATCCCATTCATCTCTACTTCTTTCGTTGGTTCGTTGTGAGCCACAGTCCCTCTGTGTTTATTCTTTCTGGTCATTCATCTGATCTTTATCTTCAGTATCGAGCCAGCGTAGGCAGCAACTCTTCATGTATGATGTTTGCAGTTTGTTGGAAATGCTTTTTGTAACGCGCCAACTCTCTCCAACCATCACATGGAAACACTGATTTACTTGACTGACATAGGTAGTGTTGAAAATGTGCATCTTGTTCACGCTCTATGCTGAGTGCAGTGTTGTATGTCTCCACACTGATTTCAGATCAATAAAGAAGGGCTTGTCCTGCTGGCTTTGACATCCTCATCTGTACCCGTGCCGACACCTGTAGTTGGAACGATACTGTCTCCTAGGTAAAGAGTCCGAGTCCCGGTAGAAACAACACTCACTAGGAGGCAGGTACATCCAGTTGACGAATCCCGAATAGGACGAAATAGTCATCCAGCATTCCATTGCTAGCCACTACCCACCATTACTATATAGATTTATAAATGGTAAATAAATTACCATTTCCCTTAATGATGACCTTGTCCTTCATATTCTTGATCCTGATTGGTCAGTGTATACTTGAACGTGATTGGCCGTCGCTAAAGTTTGCTTTAATCAACCATTTATGTGGTAATAAATTTTATTATAATGTGCAACCGGAATAATCGATTATTACTGATTTTAGGTTAGAATTCATTATGAATTAATATATCAGTTGGAGGAACATTGGAACAGTGAGAGCACAGGATAGAAGCTGTTGCATCCTAGTAGCTCAATGATAAGATGTTGGCCATGGGACCTGAAGGTCATGAGTTCGATTCCTGGTGGGGTCATACGTGCGCACTGCTGAGGAGTCCCAATAATTAAGACGAAACAGCGGATTTCCAATGCTCCTAGGTTTCCAATCCTTCTATAATTTGACATCAGTCCATGATGAATTTCGACCAAAAATCAATTAACAAACCTCCAGATAGGATTATTATTATTACTATAATTATGAACGATGACTAGGCAGATGTGCGATTTGATAATAAAGAAGTATTGTAAAAAAAATTTGGTTTTTATATACACGGAATAACATGCTTATCACCACGGGGGGGAGATGTTTACTTCACACACACACACACACGCACACTGACAGATGAGGAACAAACCGATTCATATCGAATATGTACATAGTCTCTATGCCTATTTCCGTCGTCTTAACACTTACAAATAATAATAATTGAATAAGGCAAAAACAGATCAATTTTATTTACTGTGGTGGCTACAGGTGTGTGTAATGATGCCCGTCCCCATGGGGGATAGACGCATTTTTTATTGGTGTGAAACCAATTATGTTAACAGAATGTAACATACGATGAATATTAGATATATCACGAAATAGACACACATACACACACACACACACACAACCAAGATTAAAGAGAAAGCAAGATAGAATATAATCAAGTACTGTTCACACTCGACAACATACAGTACATAGGCATGATGTGGAAAGCTGTACACATACACACACACACACACACAAAGAATAGTAATCAAGCCATATTTTGTAGAGGAGAAACCCCTAACCCTTTTTATATCGAACAGACACATAAAAATCAAGGCATAAGACAACTTTATCGATGTATATTAGCATAATAAAATTGAAACATGTTCATGAAATGTAAAGAATACGTTTCAAATAATTTTATTATATAAGTATGAAAGTATAAAATATAAAAATAATATAGAGAACTCTAAAGATAGGTGGATATATAACGTGATTATGACAAGAAAATAAAATCAAAGTACTAGGAAATATACAAACCGGATAGATTATTTTTCATTGCTATTCGAGAAAGAAAGAAGGAAGGTGAGAAGAGTCCTCCTCTTGTGATAACCACCATTACAGACAGAAGAATCAGCCTGACAAATATAGTTGTCTAAGATTCTAGGTTCTATAACCATCAGACATCAGAAAAGAAACATTTTAGACTTGGGCGTGAGTGTATCGACAAGATATTCACACTCCATCAGGTTCTGGAACATAGGTATATTTCAAGTTATTATTCATCGTAGACTGACATCAGTTGGAGGGACAAAGGAAACCTGGGAGCACTGGACAGCTAGCTGTTTCGTTCTAGTATGGGACTCCTCAGCAGTGCGCACCCACGACCCCATCAGCAGGGATCGAACCCGCGACCTTCAGGTTCCTCAAAATTTAATAGGTATATTTACCGACACGCGAAACTACCTGTATTTCTTGACCTCAGAGGAGAGTGGTATCTGTCAAGGATGCCCAGTTTCTGTATTCCTATACAAATTTTATCATAGACGTTCTTATGGAGGTCTCCTTTCTATTATCTGACTTCATACAGAGTGATCTGATTATTATTTGTCCCTTGGGTTCCTAGTGGAACATAGGACTTCAGTAGCATATCTCTATTCCACTCTCTTCTCTGCGGTCTTTTTAACCTCGCTCCACGATTGCCCCCACATGTTGACATTTCTTCCTAATATGATCTTCTCTATGTCACCCTCGCCTCGGACTCACAACTCGTTGTTTCCCATTTAGATTCCACTGAAGGGCCTGGCACATGATGTCTCTAACTGGTTTTCTCAGTGTATGCCCAATCCATCTCCACTTCTTTCTGCATATTTGTTGGGCAATAGGTTCTTGCTTCGTTGGTTCGTTGACAGGCTAGAGTTCCTTGTTGCCTTTTCTTTCTGGTCATCTGATCTGATCTTCAGTATCGGGCCAGCGTAGGCGGTAGTTGTTGATGAACGTCTGTACTTTGTTGGAAATGCTTT